CTCCACTGATGTTTATATCGTGGTGATCAATTCTCCAGTTACATAAAGGCTCGATAATGATATAGGACTTTGTACAAATTGATAGGTACAACATAGGAGGGAAAATACACAAATAACCCGCATATAGGAGAGAGAAAAGCTTACTATGACGACGTTTTGGTCCGACTCGGATCAATTTACAAAGTCACACTAACACAAAAGAGTGAAGGAGCTGTGTGTGTATAGTGATGGTTATTTGTGTGTTGTTCCAGTGTATTGTGTCTTTTTTGTTATGTATGGGTGGAAAGAGCACCATGATCCAAACTGGGCTCATAATGCTCGGAATTTTCTTACTGCAGACCGAAGTAATTAAAAGTGTTAGGTAAAAGGACAGATGTGCAAGTTTTGCGATATTTTTCTTGTGGCAACATTTAGCTCTCCAGGAGCTTCGTCAAGCGTTACCACAATAAAAATATCGCATGCGTCCTTTAACCCAACATGTTGTAGGTAATTCTACCAACATTATTATCAAATTAAATCCTGAGAAACTATCCATCCCGGTTTATATAATCCAAACTCAATTTTCACCCCCTTCTATATGATACTTCAACTATTTAATCAAGCCTATAACTAAAACTGTAGGTGTAAACAAATCTACAATAGTATGTAGACGCGTGCACAATTCACTGCTACCTGCGTTATAGTAGTACTCTTGTGCACTCAAGTAGTCAGTGTTGGGAAGAGTGACTTGCGTATCCCTCTTGTGGTGGCTGCCCAGGGTAGTGGCGCAGGTGACACGGATGACGCCTTCCTGGAAGAGGTCTGGTCGGGCCAGGAACCTCAGTCCCACAGTTCGTTTGTCTTGGTACTTCACCACGTAACTCTGAACCAGGGTACATGGTTATAAAAACATAAGAAAAGCTGCATAAAAAGGAATATAGAGAATAATTATACATATATATATATATATTATATATATATATATTTTATATATATATAAATATATATATATATATATATATATATATATATATGTATATATATATAATATATATTATATATATATATATATATATATATATATATATATATGTGTGTGTGTGTATGTATATATATGAAGTAGTAGGTTGGTAGACAGCAACCACCCAGGGAGGTACTACCGTCCTGCCAAGTGAGTGTAAAACGAAAGCCTGTAATTGTTTTACATGATGGTAGGATTGCTGGTGTTTTTTGTCTGTCTCATAAATATGCAAGATTACAGGCATGTCTTGCTACTCCTACTTACACTTAGGTCACACTACACATACATGTACACGTTTATTTATACACACTCATCTGAGTTTTCTTTGATTTTATCTTAATAGTTCTTGGTCTTATTACTTTTCCTTTTATATCCATGGGGAAGTGGAATAAGAATCTTTCCTCCGTAAGCCATGCGTGTTGTAAAAGTCAACTAAAATGCCGGAAACAATGGGCTAGTAACCCCTTTTCCTGTAAAGATTACTAAAAAGAATAAGAAGAAGAAAATTGTCAAAGTGGGAAGTCTGAATGTGCGTGGATGTTGTGCAAATGATAAGAAAGAGATGATTGTGGATGTTATGAATGAGAAGAAACTGGATGTCCGGCTTTAAGTGAAACAAAGCTGAAGGGGGTGGGAGAGTTTTCAGTGGGGAGGAATAAATGGGATTAGGTCAGGGGTTTCAAATAGAGTTAGAGCTAAAGAAGGAGTAGCAATAATGTTGAAGGATAAGCTATGGCAGGAAAAGAGGGACTATAATGTATTAATTCAAGGATTATGTGGAGTAAAATAAAGATTGGATGTGAAAAGTGGGTTATAATAAAGGTGTATGCACCTGGAGAAGAAAGAAGTGTAGAGGAGAGGGGAGAGATTTTGGGAAATGTTGAGTGAATGCGTGGGGAGTTTTGAATCAAGTGTGAGAGTAATGGTGGTTTGGGGGTTTTTAAATGCTAAAGTGGGTAAAAATGTTATGGGGGAGTGTGGGGAAATTTTTGGGGTGCAGGGGTAAATATAAATGGGGAGCCTTTTAATTGAGCTATGTGTAAAAGAATTTGGTAAAAAGTAATACATTTTATAAAAAAGAGGATAAATAAATATAAAGGTATGTTAGACGTAATGAAAGTAGTTTATTAGTTATGTATTGGGGATAAAGGTTGAGGGGGGGCTCCGGATGTACATGTTTATAGGGGGCAAGATATATGGTCATTATTTATTTGTATACGTTAGAGTAAGAGGTAGATGGGAAAAGAGGAAGGTGGAAACAACAAGTAAGGGAGGTGAAAGTGTATAAAAAAAGGGAGGAGGAAGTTCGGGGAGATTAAGCGATATTGGCAGAAAGGGGGCTAGTGAAAAGAGAGTAGTGGGGGGGGGGGTTGAAGGGGGTTTGGAAAATGTTTTAAAAAATGCAGTATTAGAATGTGGGGAGAAGTTTGTGGTTATGGGGGGTGGGGCAGGGGGAAAAAGAGGGGGGGATTGGGGGAAAATGATGAGGTAAAGGGTGTGAAAAAAGAGAAAAAGGTAGTTACGAGGGGTTTTTTACAAAGTAGAAGTGTTATAAAAAGAGCGAGTATTGGAGAGTAAAAAAAAAAGGGAAAGAAAAAAGGTGATGAGAGAGTGCAAAAGGAGAGCAGTGATAGGTGGGAGAGGCACTGTCAAAAAAATTTAATGAAAATAAAAAAAAAAAATTGGAGTGAGTTAAACAAGTTAAGAAAAAGCCCAGGGAAAAATATGGATTTGTCAGTTTTAAAAAAAAGAGTAGGGGGTTAGTAGATGGGGGGGGAGGTATTGGGGAGTGGCGGAAAATTTTAGGAACTTTTAAATTTAAGGGAAAAAAGGGAGGCGGTATTTATGCATGGCCCGGGAGGTTTACCTCTTTAGGAGTGGAAAAAGAGCAGAATGTAAGTGTGGGGAGGTACGGAAGCATTAAGTAGAATGAAAGGGGGGTAAACAGCTGGAATGATGGGATATGCGAATGTTAAAAAGCAGGGGGGGGAAGTGTTTGGGGTGGTTGGTACTTTTGTTAAAAAATGTATGAAAGGGGGAAGGTACCCAGGGATTGCGGAGAGCATGGTTATCCTTTTATAAGAGAAGGGGGAAAAAAAGACGTAAAAAATTTTGAGGAAAAAAGTTTACTGGTATACCCAAGAAAAGGGGTATGGTAGGGTTATAATTGAAAGAATTGAGGTAAGACAGAAGAGGGGTTGCGGATGAACATAGAAAAAAAATAAAGGGGTGGAGGGTATCAAATGATTTAGATAAAAAAAAATTGGATATCAAATGGGGGAGGAGTAGGAAGAAGTGAATGTTTTCAGATACTTGGGAGTTGAGTGTCGGCGGGTGGATTTAGAAGGTTTAGGTTAAAACATGAATTGATAAAGGAAAAAAAAGGGGAGGGTGCGTTTAGGGATATGTGGAGTCAAAAAAGTTTTATGGAGGCAAAGAAGGGAATGTAGAAAGTTTTTAGTACCAAACTTTATATGGGTGTGAAGCTTTGGGGGTAAATGCAGCAGCGGGAGACGGTTGGAGGCGTGGAGTTCCTGTCTAAGGGCAAAGTGTGGTGTAAATATTAGCAGAAAAATTTGGAGTTTTGGAAATTAGGGAGAGGTGTGGAGTTAATAAAAGCATTAGTCAGAGGGCAGAAGAGGGGTTTTTGAGGTGGTTTGGTCATTTAGGAGAATGGATCAAATAGAATGACATGGAAAGCATAAAAATCTATAGGGGAAGGAAGGCGGGGTAGGGGTTCGTCCTCGAAAGGGTTGGAGAGGGGGGGTTAAAGGAGGTTTTGTGGGGCAAGGGGCTTGGACTTCCAGCAAGCCTGCGTGAGCGTGTTAGATAGGAGTGAATGGAGACGAATGATATTTGGGGACCTGACGATCTGTTTGGAGTGTGAGCAGGGTAATATTTAGTGAAGGGATTCAGGGAAACCGGTTATTTTCATATAGTCGGACTTGAGTCCTGGAAATGGGGAAATACAATGCCTGCACTTTAAAGGAGGGTTTGGGATATTGGCAGTTTGGAGGGATATGTTGTGTATCTTTTATGTGTATGCTTCTAGACTGTTGTATTCTGAGCACCCCTGCAAAAGCAGTGATAATGTGTGATGTGGGGGTTTAAAGTGTTGATGATGATTTAAAGTATTTTCTTTTGGGGATTTTCTTTCTTTTTTGGGTCACCTGCCTCGGTGGGAGACGGCCGACTTGTTGAAAAAAAATGTGTGTGTATATATATATATTTTATTTATATATATATATATTATATATATATTTATATATTATATATATATAAAATATTATATATATATTTATATATGTCGCGGTACAGAGATATTCATCATTATCTTCCACTGTCTTCAAACCAATTTCAAAGTGAACGAGTCTTCCTGTAATGCCTTGACCTTTATGACCAATATTACTCTTATTACGGTCGCTATTCACGTCTCGTGGTGAGTCAGTACTGGAGTGTATTATATAAGGCCTACACAAAAAACAGCCTCCCTCGTGCACGATGCTACATCTCTTGCCCGGAGATTCATGGTAATCTGTTGGTTTCCGTTTCTTACCTGGAGATCGCAACACGTGAATACACTTTTGTTAAGCATTTTGTTTTGAGGTATAGTGCAGGTTAATTAAAGTGTATTCACAAGCCTTGGCGTTTCAGAAAGGTTTGGAACGTTTTACATTCGAAATTCTAATCACATGCATAGAATTGATGGTAATGTTGTGTAGAAACATAATCACAGTTTAAGAGCTGTCGAGCTGGATAGCTGATGAATTATGACCAGCAAGGTATTAAGTACCTAAAGATGGACAAATACGAACCTGGTGGATGCTGGGGGTTTCTCAGATACACGGGAGACTTACTGGAGGTGCTGGTCTGTCGTTGAGGAGCCAGGAAAGAGAAGGCAGGTACTGTGTGTTGGCGGATGTGCAGTTGAGGGAGACCACATCCAAGGGACGGTAGGTCTCCTGTACCCCAGAGATGACTGGCCGATGCAAGGACTCAGCTGAGGGAAGGAGAGAGAGAGAGAGAACAGGAACTCAGATCACCACTGGACTAAATAAACCCTTAGTGAGCGAGACTTACCTTAGTCAAATATCTTAATGCTTGCATACGTGTCATGTATTGGTCACCTCTGTACAAGACTGATTATGGAAACGGTTTGTACAACCGACTAGATGATCAACTAAAAAATCTCACTGTGGAAGATTGGAAAACCTTCGTCTCAAAGATTTTCGTTTTGTTGTCATGAAAATCTTGGAATTTCCTTAAAATGCTGACATAACCTCTCAAAAAAGTAAAAAATATCGCGAAACGTCGAGATTTTTCAGCCCTTATCACAGGACAAGAAGACAAATTAGCGAAACAACACACGCTACAGGACTGCTTTATTTTAGGACAACATTTCGCTCCGCGTAATCTCTTCACCGAATGACCATCTGAAAAAAAAAAATGTTCTACACCGGGCGAAACGTTGTCGCGGTATGAAGTAGTTCGGTAACGTCTCCTCGGTACGACCGTCCATAGGCTGGTCTCCACCCAAGGAAAATCAAACAGTACTCTTGATCCCGTTGCAACGAATCTAACCATTTACTGTCTTCCAGGAGCTGCATAAACCCTGCGAGTTAGGCAGCAACAACAACAACAACAACAACAACAACAACAACAACAACAACAACAACAACAAGGAAAGTCATATAAACGAGCAAAGAGATAAGCAGAGGAAAACTGGAAACATATTTAAAAATAGGAGATAGACTAGTGTTGATAAAGTGAAAAAAAAAGGTGGGAGAGAAAGAGGGAAAAGAAAGGAGAGAGAGAGAGAGAGAGAGAGAGAGAGAGAGAGAGAGAGAGAGAGAGAATGAGCTCACGAACTCAGCTCCTCAGAAGCTAAAAGGAACTCAAGGAGCTTAAAAGAAAGCGGACCTGGCCATGGGAGCTCATCACACAGACACAGATAAGAAAGCTTCCAATATTCTTAGTCTCCCCAGTACGGCCATCCCCCAGGTCTCCCCAGTACTCCCGGGTCTTCCCAGTACTCCCACGGGGGAGAGGAAGAGGAGAGTCATCAAGTCGTAAATTTAACACGTTATTGAACAGCCAATGGCATCTTCCAAATAAATTTCTTTGATTACGAGATAAAAGTATGAGTCGGATTTGATTCCCAGATGATAAGTTTGTGTCCTTGCAGAACTGCAGCTGACTGCTTGATATATTATTAAATATATTATATATATATATATATATTATATATATATATATATATTTAAATAATATAAATTATATATATATATATATATATATATATATTATATATATATATATATATATATCATAGTAGTTGGTAGACAGAACCGCCCAGGAAAGGTACACCGTCCTGCCAAATGGTGTAAAACGTAAGCCTGAATTGTTTTACACGATGGTAGGATTGCTGGTGTTTTTTCTGTCTCATAAAACATGCAGGTTTTCAGGTACGTCTTGCTACTCTGTTACACTTGGGTCACACTACACATACATGTACAAGCATATGTATACACACCCCTCTGGGTTTTCTTCTATTTTCTTACTAGCTCTTGTTCTTGTTTATTTCCTCTTATCTCCATGGGAAGTGGAACAGAATTCTTCCTCCGTAAGCTATGCGTGTTGTAAGAGGCGACTAAAATGCCAGAGCAAGGGGCTAGTAACCCTTCTCCTGTATATATTACTAAATATGAAAAGAGAAACTTTGTTTTTCCTTTTGGGCCACCCACCTCGGTGGGATACGGCGGTGTGTTGTAGAAAGAAAGAAAATATATATATATATATATATATATATATATATATATATATATATATATATATATATATATATTATATATGTACATATATATATATAATATATATATATATATATATATATATATATATTATATATATATATATATAGTGTGATAGTGACTTAGGTCACACTACACATACATGTACAAGCATATATATACACACCCCTCTGGGTTTTCTTCTATTTTCTTGCTAGTTCTTGTTCTTGTTTATTTCCTCTTACCTCCATGGGGAAGTGGAATAGAATTCTTCCTCCGTAAGCCATGCCTGTTGTCAGAGGCGACTAAAATGCCAGGAGCAAGGGGCTAGTAACCTCTTCTCCTGTATATATTACTAAATTTAAAAAGAGAAACTTTCGTTTTTCTTTTTGGGCCACCCTGCCTTGGTGGGATACGGCCGGGTTTTTTGAAAATATTTTATATATATATATATATATATATAATATAATATATATATATTTATATATAATATATATTATATATATATATATAATATATATATATATATATATATATATATATATATATATATATTAATATATATTATATGTTGATAGTGACTTAGGTCACACTAACATACATGTACAAGATATTTTATACACACCCTCTGGGTTTTCTTCTATTTTCTTGCTAGTTCTTGTTCTTGTTTTATTTCCTCTTACCTCCATGGGAAGTGGAATAGAATTCTTCCTCCGTAAGCCATGCCTGTTGTCAGAGGCGACTAAAATCCCAGGAGCAAGGGGCTAGAAACCTCTTCCCCTGTATATATTACTAAATTTAAAAGGAAACTTTCGTTTTTTTTTTTGGGGCCCCCCTGCCTTGGGGGGATAGGGGCCGGGTTTTGTTGAATATATATATATATTTTTATATATTATTTTATATATATATTTTATATATATTATATATATATATATATAATTATATACATAATATTTTTTTATATATATATATATATATATAAATTTATAATATTTAATTTTATAATATTATATATATTATATAGGGTTTGAAAAAATATAATTAAATATTTTTTTTCATAAAAGCAGCTTTAAAAATAATAAAATTTTCCCGTGGGTTTTATATAAATTAGACTCATTATAATTAATAAAATTTGGGAAGGTTTTAATAAAAATTTGGGACAAATAAAAACCTTTTTTCTTGGGTAGAATAATTTGTTGGGGAATGTCGTGAGGACGTCTAGTTAAACCGGGACCTAGCAGTGTTCCTTTTTTCTTTGAGCCCGGTATTGTCGCCGTCAGGTGTTTTTTTTGGGGGGGGGTTGACTGTGAGGTGTAGTCTAAGCCCTTTAATTGCCTCCTTTTGATGTTTACTTTCATGTTCCTTGACAATGTGAGTAGTCACGAAAGCGTTTGGGAAAATTTCCCTACTTTTTCACAGGGGTTGTTTTGTTTTTTTTTAAAATTCACCTTTTTACTGGATTTATTGAATATTATATATAAATATTATATATTTTAATATATATATTATATATATAAAATTTATATATATATTTTATATTATTTATATTTATTAATATTATATATATATATATAATAATAATATATAATATATATATATATATATATATTTCGGCCAATGGGCAGAACTTGCGATCTTGGCTTAAATAGCAACGCTCATCTGCCATATAGCAAAGTGAAAATTTGTGTATGCAATAATTTCCCCAAAATCTTATAAAACCAAAACAAAAAAAATATTTTTCCTGTGTTTGTTTGTATTAAATTTTTTAAAACAAATTAAATATATTTATTTGGGTTGGAAAAAATAAATTTTTCTTGTTTAAAAAGGGGTTGGGTAAGTTTTTCTAAGTTCCCTTTTGGGGCAAAATTATAAAAATTTTTCATTAACTTAATGAAAAAAACATTCTATAAAGTTAAGAGAAAATTTTAGAAAGGATTAATTTTAAAAGAGTTCTTGCTAATTGACCCGTTTTACATATTCGGCACTACAACATATATATATAATATATTTTTATATATATATAATATATTAAAATATAATATATAATATAATATATTATTTAATTTTATTATTATATTTATATTATATATATATAATATATAATATATATATAATATTATATATTTATATATATATAATATATATATATATATATATAATATTTATTTATATAATAATTTATATATATATTGTTTTTTTGATTTTTTTTGTGTTTTAAAAAAATTTAGTTCTTATGATTAGGTTTTTTTCTAGCTTCTATGTGCTGTTAGGTTAGCACCACTATGTGCGCACCACAACTTTCCCCCACTAATTCACCACGAAACATGGGTTCCCGCCTGAAAGCTACAGTTCCGTCCCATTCCCAAAACTTTCTGACTGGATATACCCTATTATACCCGGGAAATTGCCTTAAAAAAAGCTTTTATCCCAGCGATGCCTTTTAGCAAAGTTGTTTAAAAAAATGATTAATTAAGATCATTTTGTGATTTAATTAGTAATGCAAAGAGGGATGTTGTTTGCGTTCAACGAAGGGGTCCTCGTTGGAAAACACAGACGCCTATCACGAAAAGATAAAATCATACATATATATATATATAATATATATATAATATATATATATATATATATAAATTTTATATATTTTTAAATATATATATATATATAATATTATAATAATATAAAATATAATATTATATTTATATATATATATAAAATTGGGGAGATTCATTTCACGAAACTATTTTATTCTAGGTAGTCTTCAGTTTCTCTAAACTCTTTTTTAAAGGTTTTGTTGAGGCTGGTTATGCGGTGATGGGTAGTGGTTTACGGGGTTTGCATGTTTGTGGGTGGCGGGTAAGCGTTTAAGATGGTGAAAAATGTTCTGGGTTTTGTGGGGGGCGGATGTTTCAGGTATTGTGTTCTGTTGTTGTCTGGCAGGTGGGGGTGTTTTTTTCTCATCTTGCAAGCAAAGCTTTGTGTCGGCCTTTGTTAGGGAAAGTAGGGTTAATGTAGGCGATGTTGGCACAGCCCACAGTTTTGTCTGTGTTTCCCTGTGAACACACGGTTACCGTTTTTAAAACAGTGTATTGCGAGACGCGCTGTCCCCAGTGTTGCATCGTATTCAAGATAATTTGGTCGCTTTATTTGTCTCTGAGACGACTATTACATTACGTGCCCTTTTAAAAGTGAAGGAGCTGGTTTTTGTTGGGGA